AATGAAGCTTTTACAACTGTATGTAGTTGGCTGGAGATATAATTAGTCAATTCTTTCAATTCAATATAAACGTCATTTTAGTCAAATTAATTTGTTGAATATCCATAAAAGTGTTGCTTAGGAAATTTCAGAAAATTAAAGACACTATTTTTTTTATTTTTTCTATTATCATATTATTTGTTATTGTTAGTGTTCATTTCTATATTATCCTTAATTCTATTATATTTTCTTTTCATTCATGTGGTATATATATTTACTTGAGCATGGTTGGTCCGGAACAATTTCTTTACACTTACAAGATAGGTAAGATTGTGTATACACCATTCTTTCTAGATCCCACTTGTGGAATTTTACTGAATATGTTATTTTTGCTTCTGTTATCCTTCTACTATATTTTCTTTTGATACCTGTTACATTATGAAATTAATACTTTACTTGAGCCGATCGAAGGTCTATTGAAGACAACATCTCTCTTCATTAAATAAGGGTATGAAACTTTGTACACACCACTAACCTTAATTAGATCCCGTTATGAGATTTTACTAAGTATGTTAATTGTTACTGCTTATTCTTTTTTCAATCTACTTATTCTCCAATAAATGATTAAAAAATCTTAAAAGAGAGAGAAAATAGTTTGAGTAAATAAATAAAGAGTAATTCAATAATAAATAAATAAATTTTATAATAAATTTATAATCAAATTAACGTTCTTAATGACTTAGCTTGTTCAATTTGCATTGTGTGCAGGAATTAATTCACCTTTAATTTATAAACCTATTTAACGATAAATTAACAATAAACTCTTTAAAAATCATATATTAGTTACGTACTATCGATAAATTTCATAACTCTTTTTTGTGTGCATTGGAAAATAAACACATTGAGACAACATAGACTCAACCAATAGCGCCAGAGCCTTATGTCAAGAGGTGCCAAATGACATTCTTTTATCAAAAATTTATCTTATTTTTTTATAACGTCTACTTTTTTATATATATTATATAACACTTTACATTATAAAATTTCTGATTCTGTCACTGACCGGAGCGATTGAAAAATAGCCTTACGTGGAGGCTGTTGTATGTTGTCAATAGAGTACGAGACATCCTACTCATTACATAGTTTACTTATAATTTTTCTTTTTTCTATATTCTTTATAATATAATGATGCACGTGAATTTGTCTGATGAACAAACGACCAAAGATTTATAAAATCTCTGATGATTCCTTTGCTATGTTATGAGTTTATATAAAAATATTGTAATTATAAGCTTTCGATACAATTGTAATTTGTATCTGTTTTATTTTTTAAATTATTATTTTTTCTTAATAGGATGAACAAGTACTACGATAGTACGATTAATTATGATAGGAATACATATTTAAAATTTTGAATTCGCCTCTAGCTCAAGTCGTAGTCATGATTGAATATAATATTTGCTCGACATAATTTGATTAAAAAAATAAAATTTTGACCCTTGTTATGCCGATGATAAGCGTTTGACCATAATAAATGATATATAAAGCCAAGATCGATCATAAAATTGATTATCAAAATTCATGTGATAGGTGTCATGCGGGAAGGGGATTATTGGGCAACACCAAGATTCTATCTATATCAAGGCAGAGTTGGGAATGACTTGTATTCGAGTCATGATTGAATATAACGTCTTTTGATAGACTTGTTATTTAAGAAATAAAATTACTTTGATATCATCAGTTATAACTTTTGTCACGATGTGCTTGATCTTAATTATACTTCTATTAGCATTCTCTATGTTACACTAATATTACCAGTCATAACTTTTGACACAACATGCTTGATCTTAATTATATTTCGATTAGCATTTTGTTTAAGGAAACATTAATATATAGTTCCCATGCGCATTTGCTCTTTCTTTGTTTCTTGTGTGGTAGACAATATATAGACCACATACTTCCCAAGAACTAAAAAAGAAATTAGTATCATTTCTAGAAATTAATTTATCACTCTTATTCTTACGTAATTTTAGGTATGTTTTCATTTTTTTTGTTTATATTTTTCTATAAATGTATCAAATATTTATTATGGTCAAAGGAGAACATGGTGTAATTACAAAATGCATGAATGTGTTGTATTTTATTGTACATTCATGCATGTAAATATTAATTGATTAGATCCATCAAATATTAAATTATTTACTAATTAGGTTCACAATAATACGATGCATATACCCTTTAATTCTTTAAATACAATAACAATAATAATAATTAATAATATAATCAATATAATTTTACGAGTGAATCCGAAAAAAATAACGTGTACGCATATTTTATGTTTATCTTAATCAAATAAAAATATTGTTTCGATAGACTTCCATCTCAAATAAAAATAATTATCTATATATGATGATATGTGAGTGGAGAATATTGATATTTTATAGTAAGTATATATATAACAATTTTCCACCATCAACGGCGAAAATGGAACAATCTTGATTAAATGGTTTAATTAGAGGACCATTTAAAAAAAAAAAAGATAACACGTGTTCATTATGGAAGTTTTATTCCATTTACATAAATGACTTTTGCAAAAATATGTGCATGTAAGTAACAGGAAAAATAAGAAAATGTTAAGTATACTTGTAAGTTAAAAAGAAAGTTTTAAAAAAGTTAATAGTATAACTTAAATTTAAAGAAAGTTTCCATCGTTGTTATAATGAAATATTGTTATAGAGCAATCTCGAGGAATTAGTTAAAGTGCACAAAATTCGCTCTTAGTCTTAGTACAAAGTTACCTGATACTTGTTATTGATGAAAAGTGACAAAAATAAAATTTTGATGTAGAGTATATAACATGACCACGACACTAGATTAAATCTCTTAAATAGTCAAATGTAGGGGTGTGCAAAAACCGATTTAACCAATAAATCGAACCGAAAAAAACACTATTGGTTTGTTGATATTGGGTTATTGGGCTAACGGTTTTGCAAATTTTTTTATTGGGTTATTGGTTCGGTTTCCGGTTTTATAATTTTTGTTAATGGTTAAACCGATAACCCAATAAGACTATACTAAATTTACTGGTCTTATTGTTAATGGTTAAACGATTGTTACTTTCACACTTTTTGTTAATGGTTAAACGATTGTTACTTTCACACTTTTTCCTTTGAATGTGTCTAGTGTCTAAACTTGCAAGAAAAATGATTGTTACTTTTATGATTATTACTTTCATGCCAAATGCTGGAAAAATCATATGGTTTATTTGAAAATTTTCTTATCGTGTATATAATATATATGAGTATTTTCTTATTGGTTAAACCGAAAACCGAACCGTTAAGTACCATAAATCGATTAACCAAAAACCGATAAGAAATATGTTATTGGTTTGGTTATCGGTTTGAAGTATTTACAAACCGAAAACCGATAAACTGAACCAATAACACCTAAAACCGAACCGAACCGAACCGACCGATGCGCACCTAGTCAAATGTATTGTTGAAGGCATGTTCTAAAAACTAATTGTAATTGAGGGGAACATGTCTCATGCGTTGAATATAACAAGGAAATACGAAGAAATTAATTTGTTGTGATTCTATGTATCAAATCTTAAAAAATATACGTATATATATTGTGGATCACATTTCTTATTATATAATTTAAATGATACCAATATAAATTTTGTCTTTATCAAAAATTATAACTTGAGTTTTGCCCCAATATATGCACCTTTTGTGTTGGATATATTATAATAATTTAATAAGCAAATAATTAATTTTACGTTCATAAAATAGAGATCTTAAAAAGAAAAGGAAAAAATAGGATAATATTGCGATGGTAAAATTAAATTAATCTCTACACACTCAAAAGAAAGTGTCCTTTTTGATGCTTTTAAATAAATGGTGTGGTAGGAAGAAAATATTTTTATATTTGGTTTGTCAATTTTTTTTGAAAAATATATTCGGAAAAATTGATTTTGTTGTTTATTAATGGATATTTTAAGAGATTTTATCTTTACATATAATACGTAGATCTAAAAATAAAAATACCATTTTCTTCTATTTAATTTCTAAATGGCTAAGATATTATCTCATATAAGTGTTACACGAGTGATATTTCACGTTGATTGTGTCCTCCTACCCCACCCCCAACAGACCTCATCTTTACCTCTATCCCAACCACCCCACCGTCCACACCTCCACCTACCATAATATTTATCTAAACGATATACAATTTTTTTTTAAAGATTTTATGTGTTTTAACCAAAAATCATATGATGAATATACATGGGCCAAATATAAGTATATAGTTTGTGGGCTTATTATTAATTTTGTCCAAGTTGGATAGCCAATGGTCCAATTTTGCAAAGCAGTCCAATTGCCATTTCGGTTCCAACTTAAACTACAAATGACATAATAGATTGCTTTTCCGCAAAATTTCAAATTTAACAAGTTTTATTTTACGCGCAATATTCTAACTTATATTTTTGAACGTTTGCTCATTGGATAATCAATATCAAAAATTCAAAATCATTCATTTTTCAAAAACATCACGTGTAATTTCCTAGTATACCAATGGCCGATGATAGGCCACTTCATAGAAATATAAATGCATAACACAAACAAACATTTAAATTTGATCTCAATTGATAAATAAATATTTTAACTTTGAGAATACACGTTCAGACGCCTCAATTCAGTTTCACCTAACAACTAAATAGTCCAACCTGTGATCCGTCTTCTCTATATCTTGTGGACACCCAATTATAATGATGTTTAAATACCAACATGAGTTGTGGTGCACTGGTAAAAATGTTTCACCCTAAACCAGAGGTTTCAGGTTCGAGCCCTGGGTATGGAGAAAATCATGTTGGAAGCGCCACCCTCTGAATGAGCCTTGCAGTGCGCGATCCGAATTTAGTCGGAGCTTCAATATGAGCTCCAAACACCAAGTGAAAAACAAAAAAAAAACGATATTTAAATAATAAGTTAATGTGTTTATAATGATGTTTAAATACCAACATGAGTTGTGGTGCACTGGTAAAAGTGTTTCACCCTAAACCAGAGGTTTCAGGTTCGAGCCTTGGGTATGGAGAAAATCATGTTGGAAGCGCCACCCTCCGAATGAGCCTTGCAGTGCGCGATCCGAATTTAGTCGGAGCTTCAATATGAGCTCCAAACACCAAGTGAAAAACAAAAAAAAAACGATATTTAAATAATAAGTTAATGTGTTTAAGTGTACATACTCACAGTTGGTTACAAAACAAATACTCCCTCCGTCCCTATTTAGTTGTCCATATTTTCTCTTTTAGTTGTCCCTATTTAGTTGTCAATTTTGACAAATCAAGAAAAGACAACAAATTTTTTTCTATTATACCCTTATTTAAATAGAGTTGTCATAAATAAAGTAAATAAACTTATGAACTTCCCAACATTAATTAGTTATCTTGAGTTAGTTTATTTTGGAATTATAAATTGTACTATAAGGATAAAATTGTAACTTCACTATGCTAATTATTGTTGCCTTAATTTGTGTGTCATTTCTAAAGTGGACAACTAAATAGGGACAGAGGGAGTACAAAAGTTTAGCGCCTCTTTCTCCTTCACCCGTTGCCTTCAAACCCAAGCTGCCATGTCCATGTAGCAACACAGAGTTTTAAGCTTTCAAGCCAAAATCGAAAAATGAAGAATGCCCAAATACGCAAATTCAAATCATTGATTTCCTTAAAAGAAACAGAAGCAAATTCCCTTTTATGGCCGCCAAAATTTTCTTCACTGTCATCATCTTTACAACAATATATCAATTCAGACACTCCTATTTTCGGCCAAAAGATTCATTCATACATTTTGAAAACTGGGTATCAACCCAATACCAATATAAGTATCAAATTGTTAATACTTTACTTAAAAAGTTCTTGTCTTTTTTATGCCCGCCAAGTGTTTGATGAAATGCGTCAACCAACTCTCTCTGCTTATAATTACATGATTTCTGGGTATGTGAAACATGGGTTTGTTTTAGAATGCTTTAATATGGTTAGAAAGTTGTGTCTTTGTGGTGAAACTCCAGATAAGTTTACACTATCAATGATTTTGAAGGGGTCTACTATTAGCTATGCAGAGTCGTATTCTCTAGATTTTGGAAAGCAGGTTCATGCCCAGGTGATTAAATGTGATGTTGAGGGTGATGATGTGCTTTATACTGGGTTAGTTGATTCGTATGTGAAGAGTGGGAGGGTGGATTATGCGAGGAGAGTGTTTGATTTGATGTTGGAAAGGAGTGTTGTTTGCTCGACGTCGTTGATAACAGGGTATATGAATCAGGGTTATATTGAGGATGCTGAAGATGTGTTTAGTAAAACAATGGAGAAAGATGTTGTGGCGTTCAATGCGATGATTGAAGGTTATAGTAAACAGATTGAAAATGCTAAGAAGGCGATTGAGGTTTATATTGACATGCAGCGTTTCGGTTTTAGGCCTAATATTTCTACTTTTGCAAGTATTATTGGGGCTTGTTCTACTCTAGCAGCATCTGAAATTGGTCAACAGGTTCAAGGACAGCTGATGAAGACTGAGTTAATTGAGCTCGTTAAAATTGCAAGTGCTTTAATTGACATGTATTCTAAGTGTGGATTGGTTGAGGATGCAAGAAGAGTCTTTGACCACATGCATGAGAAGAATGTCTTCTCTTGGACTTCCATGATTGATGGATACGGGAAAAACGGGTATCCCGATGAGGCACTTGAACTATTTAGTATAATGCAAGAAGATCATCACATTGTTCCAAATTATGTTACATTTCTAAGTGCTCTCTCAGCTTGTGCGCATTCCGGACTAGTTGTTAAAGGAAGAGAGATTTTTGAAAGTATGGAGAGAGATTACTATATGAAGCCAAGGATGGAGCATTATGCTTGCATGGTTGATCTCTTTGGACGCTCAGGGAGCTTAAATCAGGCATTAGAGTTTGTAATTAATATGACTGAAAGTCCAGATTCTGATGTTTGGGCAGCTTTACTCAGTTCTTGTAGAGTGCATGGAGATGTGGAATTGGCTAATTTAGCTGCCAATGAGCTTTTCAAGCTAAGTAGTGGTAGTCGTCCAGGGGCATATGTTGCACTATCTAATGCTCTTGCAGATGCTGGTAGATGGGATGGTGTGAGTGAACTTAGGGAGATTATGAAGATTAGAGGAATATCAAAGGGCACAGGCTTCAGTTGGGTTGGCAGTGATGGTAGTTTGAAAGCTTTTTTTGCTGGACAACAGACATAACTAAAGGCAATAGTAGCAAGTTTTCACTCTTTTTTTTAAATTTTTTTACGAGAAAGAGTTTTCACTCAGTTAATCTGATAACTTGATTTTTTTTAATATACAGTTTAAGATCTCCAGAGCCTGGTAGTAAAGAAAGGCATCGTTGCCAATCTGAAGCGACTTAACCATGCCTGAACAGGAAGATAGAGAATTGACACGTGGCTAGTTGAAGTTACACAAATGGAATATATACCTCCTCAGGTGCATGGTTTGGCTTTCTTCACCCTTGTACAAGGATTCAAGTTCATATACTTGAGTTTGTTTCTATCTCCTAAAAGGATTCAATCCTTTTATTGTTCCTATCTTTCAAATTCAAGTCTCCCGCTATCCACACTCGTGTCAGGGGTGAAGAGAAATAATTTATTCATAGTCAAATCATACAAGCAGAGTCTGCTAGTGAGAGAGGATTCCACTTTCCCGCATTTATTGATCAGGATCCTCAAGGCACCAAGAAGGTATGTTTCTTTGCATGGTTGGCAGCTAGGGACGAGATATTGACAATGGATGAGCTAATGCAGCATGTTTGTTGTGGATGTTCCTGATTTTGTTTGGGTGTACAATGTGTAATGCTGTGCACAATGGAAGAAGTGTTGCATTACTAGTCCTTCAGAATGAGGAAGAGAAGAAATAGGATATGGATGTTGATCTGCTAGCTTTATTGTGGGTAACATGGAGGGAGAATAATTCGAGAGCATTTAAAGGGGGTTGAAATAGATATCTGTTTCTAGTTTTCTTTTGGTGCAGCCACAACGTCCCCTGTGTGTATAGATGATTGATATCCTTTGTAGAGAATCATATTTTTGTGTAGGTTCTCTACGTTTTACTATACAACTTCTATACGGGGTTTCTCCCCACACATTAATAAATTTGTTTACCTTATTGAAAATAAAGTTGTATTTGAGATACTATTTGGTACAGGTTGGACAATCAGTATTGCCATGTGCGAGAAGTGATTGTTAGATGAAACTGGGCAATAGTGAGACTACTGGAAACTCAATCAGTCAGTTATACCAAAACAAAGGCAGACACTCAACTGTTGGAGTGCCTGACCAAGTCGAATGTGTTTTTATTTGTCTAAGTTTTTTCCATTCTCTTGAGCTTTACAATCAATAGCAGGTTGACATTTCTGCACAGTGTATGCAACAAAGCTGACCTTGTGGCTCCATAACATTCCAAGCATGTAGTTCTTCGCATTGCATGGAACTCAAGTCCGTCTCCATAGACCGCCTAATTCATTATTGACTAAGGCCTAACAAGCAGACACTCTATCTATTGATTTCCAAAGTGAAGCTTTTAAAAGTGACTGATTTCTTGGGAATTGCAAGTTTTACCATCAGTCTTAAGCATAACCTAGAACAAAAAGGAGATTAAATGTGTTTTCCTTGCCTGTCTACACAGCATCAAGCGAATGCTTAAGTCTATCTATCAATTGATGTGATAAATTCAATCTTTTCCGGGGAAGTTGACTTCTTGGATAATCTTTACCATTATACTTTTTTTATTTTTTTTGATAATCTGGTGAAAAGTAGGTCTTGTAATATTTATGCATTGTTTGGCTATTAGGCATGTTAAATTTGGTTTTGCATATGCCTTCCGTCGGTTTTGGAAGTTTATCATCCCTATATGTGGTCTGGTTCTTAAAAGAATTCTTTAATCTGGTCCAGGCATTGACAGGGACATAATGTGATGCTTCTGTTAAGGATTTGTGGAACTAAATATTCTATGCTTGGATGTTGGAATTTGCTGTTTCATGATTGTGAAATTGTCAAGAGGATGAAACTTATCAGTGCACATTGTGAAATTGCTGTCTCATGATTATGAAGTTGGAAGTTACACGCTTAAGGTCTCTTGGTTCATGAATATTGGGGCCATCAGAAGTTCTTCCCACATGTTGTAGGATAAAATAAACAGTCTACATTTCTTCCCGCATATGATATTTATCTTGAGCTAGTAACAAGTTCTAGTTTTAACTGCATGTTGTTGACTAACCATTGTTCTTATGCATGAATAGGATTCATAGAGGGTAGTCCGATGATGCTGTCATTAAAATACTGGTGTATGGCCTTAAAGGTATTTATTTCCACTTGTGAACTTCGTACAAAATGTTGTGGCAGTAGTTTTTTCTTCAGTTTATTGCTTCTCCTGTTCTTATACCTTAATAGAAGAAGTATTTGAAGATAGTTCATCTTACTTGTTCATTGAAGAAGCTGGAGTCAATAGTGACAAGCCTCAAGGCTATACACTAAAAGTGCTGGAGGAAACTATGGTGTAGATTTAAAATGGAGACACAGGTTTTAATTAGCTTTCTGAATATAGAAGAAAAATTGATCTTTAGAAATACTGGTGAATTCCATGATTTTCTTGAAAAAGGAAAGCCAAAAGTAAAGAGTCAATAAATAATGAGAAAAACTTGTTGATTGCACTAAGTTCATTTTATTGAAATTGAGTCTCTGGCATGTAACTCTTTTTTGCCTTTTCCGTAGTGATCAATGAAACACCAAAGCTTGTTTTAGGGCTTAAAAAGATTACACCAGTTTAAGAGATTTATTCCTGATTCTTTGATCAATGACTCCTTCCATCCCAACTCCTGTTTTTAAGCTTCATTGTGGATATTTTGGGTATGCTGCATCTTTGGTTAAAGTAGCTTAAGCTGATTGAGCATGTACAATTGACTTAGAAAGAGTCTATTCTTGTTTTCAAATTAGCTTTTGGTACCAATCATTCTGTCTTAACCCTTTAAAAGTCAATATAGGTAGCATTTACAAGTCGATAAAGGTGGCGTTTAGGTAGCCGGTATACGTCAGAAAAAAGGTAGTCTGTAATCCTATCCTACAGCTTCCTGCTACTGAAATGTACAACTTGTTGGACTTTCATGTAGTCCCATGATTGAATGCTAGAGGGTCATGCAATTCTTTTTTGAATTTTCTAGTTATTTGCTCTTTTTAATTGCACTTAGTAATGTAGTCCTCAGGGAGGGGCTGCAAGGTGGGTGCTAATTTTGTTTGTGTTCTAGATATTTTTTTCATTATCCTTTGGCTCCATCTTGGTCTGTTGGGGTAAAGATGTGAGGAGGTCCATGGGATGATTGTGATGTGAGGAATATTGGCACATTAACTCATCAAGTGGTTATTCAAGCTTGTTTTCTGGTTATAATTTGGGCCATCAATATTTAAGACTTTCTTTGCCTTACACTTCCATGAGTTAAAAAATACTTTTTCTTTCTCTTAGTACATTTTATATTACAAATTTATCCTAAGTGGTTGTTGAAGGGTGGGAATTAGTAATGGTGACACTAAAGTTGTGAGTTTTCAAAAGAAAATTTCAGCATTTTTCCTTGGCTAATAGTTGGTGAATTCATTCTTTGAGCTTTTTCAAGAGATTCAGCTTGATCGTTGTTAAAAATGGCTCCGACTTCAAGAGCATTTTACTTTCGATTAAAACAAGAAATACTATTACATATCAATCGATGTTAGCGTGGTATAAAGGTGTTAGGTGGTGAAGGTGTATTCTCAAGTTCTGCTTTATACACAAGTATATGTCAGTTGTTAACACATCTAAGAATATCGAATTCCATTTCTATTATGTCTGTGCAATTACATTTTTCTACTGAAATTGTTTGATTAAATTGATACGTAGTCCAGTGTGATTTTAGGGTGAACATTGTACCTGAAGCTGTTGTTCACTAGAATTCTCAGTAATGGGAAGGGGAAGCACTGATGCAAAGGTTGGACTAACAGTTTAAAATGTGTGTTTGGCTTTATTTGCAGAATATATATTTGACCAAATATCAGGAAAATAACAATCATGATTAATAAGAGTATGAAGGTGCTAAGTGTCAAGTGTCTGAATCTCAAATTTCTTCTTTATAGATAGAAATGATGAGAGATTGGAGGTAATCATGCATCAATCTACATCAAAGTTTAAGGCTATTGTGCGGATGAAGCTTTTAGAGTTGCATTTAAGCATGAATTGTTTGATTAAGTTGATATTGGTCCCGTTATTGTTTTGTGTCTGAATGTTATACTAGGAGCGGTTCACCTATTGAATATAGTCATCTCCTATAGCCATCTTGAGGAATGGTGGGACACAGACAAAAAAGCAATCTTGCACGTAACCGAAAAGAAAAAATAAAAAAAGTTACTCCAGAGGATCAGTGTGCTTTCCTTTGGAAAAGAACAAAGTTATGTGGTCCTCTGTGCCCTTCTCTTTTGTTTGTTCTGTGCTTATGATGAACTTGCTTTCCTTTACCTTTGGGGGTGAAAAAGGTTAGGGAGCATTCACCATTACCACTCCTTGATAAAGACAATCCCTGTGGTAATCTTATAAACTGATTATTTGTTCTGCTTTCTCCTAATTTGTCATTGGAGTTGTAATTTGTTTACAGTTAGGGGCGGATCTAGGAGGGGGCGAGGGTGTTCACCCAAACTCCCTTGGCAAAAATTTACATTGTCTATACAATTTTTTTTAAAAAAAAATTACTTTTAGTGTATATATTCAGATTTTTGTATCCCATGAACACAAGATTAGTGGTTGGCTTAGTGGTTTAAGAGTTCAAAATTCCCCTTGCGGTTCCAAGTTCAAATCCAAGACTTTACTGTGGGAAATTGTTATCGAAGAATTGGGTAAAAGACTAATTGTAGTTAATATTGTTGAGAGAAACTGAGAAATTTTGATCGAAAAATAAAAAAAGGGTGTTGAATGCATGTCCTAACACCATTTTCAGCTGCAAATCTAACAAAGCACATGCATGTGGCAGCTACGTGGGGACTGAGATTTTTCTTTTCATTTTACACTCGTGTTTTTGGTAGTTAGAAGTCTGATTTTAAATTTTCCGAGAAGTTGATGCAGATAGTCAGTGTCACTTAACGTCTGAGCTACAAGTATCTTGCATGGATTAATCCTCTTCACAAGATCTTATACACATGAAACATTGCCATAAATGAGGTAGCTGGGAAGTCCTATCAAGAAAATCCATCAATCCATGTTCTGCTGCCCCACCGATCACCAGGTCTCGCATATCAGGTCTCTAGCAATGGAGCTTTCGTCTTCAATCCCAATTGACAAGTCACAGTGCCATCTGTTTTATGGAAAAAAAAACTTCTCATTAGCCTCAAGGAGCAGGTAACCATCCCCACACCTATGATGTTAACCTTAACCTTAGCTTTAGATGATATGAATATATGCTGGTCCCTTTTTTCTTTGTCATAGTCTATAATAAGGACTATTATATCCAACCCCGGAAAACAACCGGTATATGTAAACAACAACGACATACCCAGTGTATTCCCATTGAGTGGGGTCTGGGGTAGATACAGTGTACGCAAACTTTACCACTACCTCAGAGGTGAGGTAGAGAGGTTGTTTCCGATAGACAATCGGCTACCCGGTATATGTGAAGTACCTTTTAAAACCCCTGTTCATTGTTGATAGGAGTAGGACCATTATATTTATGCCCAGCCTAGGAGAGAGGGAGAGAGAGGGTTAATCAATATGCTGCAAGTTGTCATTGAATTGAATATACAGGAATTGGCTCTTCATTTTTCTTTTTCGTGTATAGACATCAAGTCTACATCGATCTGATCTAACGGTCATGAGTGAGTTCTTTTACAGATACCTTGTGTCTGGAGAAAGAAAGAGCAAAGTCTTTTGTAGTCCCTTTAGAGTAAGTTTTATTAAAACTAGTTGGGTCCATGAAAGTTGACACATTAATTGTTTGTTTTTGTTTTGTCAACTTTTAGCCAAATTATAACAAAGACTGATGTCTTTTGGTAAAGTCTTCTATACTTGAATATACTTGCATCAACAACCTAATGTTTTACTATGTTGCATCAAGTCCCTTGATGTTCATGAAAATCCATAAAACAAGTAGTAATATATCATATAGCTACATATGGGGGTTGTGATCACTGGTATCCTATACGAGAACTGGTACGTTTAGATACAGGCGTTTAGATACAGGCGAGTGATCGTAAGCAGTCTTAACTGTGCTTAGTGATCATGTAGGCACTGGAG